TCTTTCTCACCCCGCTCCCCAGGTATCTTAAGCCATAGGCTTTCCTCGAACTCCGTTTTCACCACTACTTCAACCACGCCAAACAAGTGTTCCTTGACCAGGAATCCGACTCCCCCCTCCCCCCTTTTCTTCGGGTCTAAGCCCTTTCTTGCCTTCCCTACCCACCGGTTTTTCCCTAGTTTGCTTACCACGTCCCCATCCTTCAATTCCCACGTCTCTTGGATCCCCACTACATCGAGATCGGGGTTGGGGGGGGGTTGTATCGCTGGTGGTTGTATTTTACAGCAGCTTGGATGGCGATGCTAAAGAATGCTCTTGGAGGCTGCGCAAGTTTAGCAAGCTCCTGTCAAGGTCTTTGCCAGCGGTCAAAGCAGTGCCAATCATGCAACCTCGAAACACGGGCGCGGTGAAACATGACGGCAATGTCGGAAGGCTGCCCGTACGACCGTTTCATGCATCCAGTTGATGGCAAAACAAGCCCGTTTCTTCGTCTTCGTCTACCCTACCTCGGATGTTGCGGATTTACTTTGGCGCGTAAATCCCAGCCCCTGGTGGGGAAGTCAGCGGCAGAGCTCGCCGGCATTTCAGACGTAAACAACGCCTCCCCAACACCGGAGGAAATCCGCTTGGCATAAGCTACACGTACACACGCGCGCGCGTATCTAGCAAGTCCGTAAATGAATACTCATCCCCTGGGGGGGTGTCCTCCTCCTTGCTTGCATGTCGCAGAGTGCGCAGCAAGCCGAGAGCGTTGCGCTGGGTGGAAACGATACCGCTAACACGAGCAAAGGCGGTCTCATGACGTCCGAGGAACGCTCGACGGGAGCCGTCGACCGCCAGGTGTACGTGGAATACATGAAGGCGCTGGGCCCGAGAGTGGTGCTGCTGAGCCTGGTAGCGGTGTTCGTGGTGTCCAACTTCACCGTGCAGATACAGCAGTGGTGAGCAGGGAGCATCGCTGTCGCCGTGTGTGGTTGCTGGTGCTGCAAGTATAATCTGCGTGTGGCTTTTCGGTTTACTGCTCCAGTGCATGTCTACAGGTTGCGTTGAAAATTAATGTCACCATCCCGCCAGTCTAATATGCGACCGGCGGGCTGACGCAAGGCATATGTACACCTGCCTCCGGTGTTACTTTTCTCTGCTGCAGTACCGCACCGCATGCGCTGATTCGCGGTTCCCCCCCCCCCCCCCCCCCCCCCCC